GCTAAAATGTATGTGAAAGATATCTACTGAATGACTACACTATTTATAATGGCCCCAAACTAGAAACAGCCTCACTAGCTATTGGTTTAATATGGTTCATTATCATGGCTGGAATAAAGTTTAACATGGCCTAGTTATAGCTCCATTTCGGGTATAAATGTCACATCTCTTAAAAATATAGCCAAGAGGACAAAGCTGATGGAGTAAGATGGTGTTCAAACTTAAATAAGTTAACGCCAGTGAATACATTTTAAGATCTTAACTCCTTTTTATTTTGAGAGCTTACTTAGAAGAATACGTAGATAAAGGAAATGGCCGTTTTATACTTGAATTAATAAGCATTTATTAAGAATGGAAAAGAAGGAAAAGTTGATCTTACTTTGAATGCCAAGTTGTTCCACGGATTTCTGTTCTTTACTTCTCCCATTCTGGAGCTTTAAATATAAAAAAATAAGGTCACACTCCCTGTTAGTCTTTTCAGAGATACACTATCTATCACACCTCTTTAAATATCTCAATAGGATTACTACCCAGAAAAAAAATTAAAATATCACCTTCACAGTTTTTTAAAAACAATAGCAATAGCTGGTTAACTCCATAAATCCCACATTATATGGGATATGCTAAACTAGCAAATTGGAATGTTTCAAGACAGCTCAGTAAAACCAGATGTTATAGTATGGGATAGTAGCTATAATAGCTCCAAGTTAGAACAAGCTGTTAGAACATGAGATGGACATTCAACTTTTAACATAGAGGCAAAGTACAGCATGATTAAAAGTAGGAGTTCTAAGCCAGACAAACCTGGCTATGAATTCTCCAGCAGCTTCCTGACTCTGTAACCTTATGCAAGTTATATAACCTTTCTCTATTTACTCACCTGAAAAATGAGTATAATAGTGCCTACCTTATAAGTTTTTTTTTTTGAGACAGAGTCTCATTGTGTCACCCTCGGTAGAGTGCCGTGGCATCACAGCTCACAGCAACTTCAAACTCTTGGACTCAAATGATTCTCTTGCCTCAGCCTCCCAAGCAGCTGGGACTACAGGCACCCACCACAACAACTGTCTATTTTTTTGTTGTAGTTGTCATTATTGTCTTAGCAGGCTGGGTGCAAATCTGCTAGCCCCAGTGTATGTGGCTGGCGCCTAACCACTGAGCACAGGCACCTGACCCCCTTATAGATTTTTTTTATGAAGATAAAATGTATGTGAAGCACTCAGTGCAATGCTGAGCACATGGACAAATGTAATAAATGTCCATTTATTGCTTTGCTATAATTGCCTAACTACACATAAGACACAATTGGGCCTGGTTCTTGATAATCAAGAATTTTTTTTTTTTAATAGAGATAAAGTCTCACTTTATTGCCCACGGTAGAGTGCTGGTGGTGTCACATAGCTCACAGCAACCTCCAACTCCTGGGCTTAGGCGATTCCCTTGCCTCAGCTTCCCAAGTCACTGGGACCACAGGCACCTGCCACAACGCCCAGTTATTTTTGTTGTTGTTGTTGCAATTTGGCTGGTGCTGGGTTTGAACCCATCACCCTCAGTATACGGGGCCAGTGCCCTGCCCACTGAGCCATAGGCGCCACCAGATAATCAAGAATTTTTAATAAAACACTTGAGGGCTACAGTGAGATTAATCAGAGAATGAAAGATTGAACCGACCCTTTCTCTTCTCAGATGACAGGTCCTGTATAAGGTACATATCAACCATCTGATACACTCAGCTTTCAAATGACAGTTCTCTTCTGAAGCTATTCCTAGCCAAAAGAGAGAAGTACACTATCCGTTAAACTGTGTCTATAGCTAAGTCTGTGTGTCTGAATTAAAGAAAAACATAAGTTGCTTTTTTCACTAATAACGAGTGACTCAGCCAGAAGCTAATGACAGCAGATAAAAATTGGTCCTCCACATGGACATGTATTCACTTTTATATACTATTAAAGAGATAACTTCAAATCAAAGCTGGATTTTAAAAGCATTATATTGCAGAGTCACACAACTTTTTTTTCTTTACTCTATAATATCATAGTATACTGTATTATTTAATGCCACTGTAATTTTTTTTAAACACTTCATGATGTATTTCTCAGAGGCCACTGGAATGTTTTAAATATTTCTGCATCCTGTATGAGTTATCATCTAGGTATTTGGCTCATAAATCCTGTGAGAAAGTCACTGAATTCACATGCCTTAGTGCCTACTAATAAATGAATGAATGAATGATCCAAGTCACATATTAAATATAGCAAATTTAAGGAGATTGATAATACATATCATATAGGTTCCCAGCAGGCTATATAGCAACAAATATGCTTACCTTCATTTAAAAAACGGAAACATAATAATAGAAATATGGCAAGTTTTAAAGTAAGAATGACAGTATAATTTACATCAGACAATAGCAGAGAAAGCTCAGAAAATCTGGATCTGAATCCTATATCTTCTTTGTCTCATGATTTGGTACATAGAAGAACAAAAGCAAACATATTTGGTTCTTGGCTGGGCACAGCGGCTCATAGTGGCTCACACCTGTAATCCTAGCACTCTAGGAGGCTGAGGCAGTAGTATTGCCTAAGTTCACAGGTTTGAGACCAGCCAGAGTAAAGGTGAGACCTCATCTCTAAAAATAGCCAGGCATTGTGGCAGGGGCCTGTAGTCCCAGCTACTGGGGAGGCTGAGGCAAGAGAATTGCTTGAGCCCAAGAACTTGAGGTTGCTGTGAGCTATGATATTACAGCAGTCTACTGAGGATGACAAAGTGAGACCCTGTCTCAGAAAAAACAACACATTTGGTTCTTTAAAAAATGAAAGATATATCTAAGCTGTGGAATGAGTAATAAATAGTTTATTAGGTATATCACGATATAGTGGAAGAACTATGGACCTCAAACTCTTGGGCCTGAGCAGTCCTCTTGCTTCAGCCTCCCAGTAGCTGGGACTATAGGCATGAACAACTACACCAGGCTAGTTTTTTCTATTTTTAGTAGAAATGAGGGGAGGTCCTTGCTCTTGCTCAGGCTGTTTTCAAACTCCTGAGTCTAAGCAATCCACCAGCCTTGGCCTCCCAGACTGCTAGGATTACAGGTGTGAGTCACCTCGCCTAGCCTTCATTACATACTTTCAAAAGTATTTATAATTTAACCATAAAATTGTACTCACCTATCTTTATACGGGGACAAGATTAAGATTATACCAAGATTCAAATTCTCAAGATAAAAGATTAACCACAGAAGGATTCTGATGATACCTTGTACTACCTTATACTAACAAAATACCCATTAAGTGATGTGACTATGTGATATTTATGTTCATGGAGAAAAGAACAACAAAAAAACAAAAAACAAAAAAACAAACACAAAACACAACAAAAAAAACCTTCCTAACATAACTGATGCTATTTTTTAAAAAAAAAACCTTTCATTTTATTTTTTGCTGAAATCATTAAAATTAGCTCAGTAAAAAAGCAAATGCACAAAGAAGTACAAGGATATTTATTTTGAAGCATTATTTATGGTAACAAAAGACTGGAAACAATATAAATGTACATTAACCGGAAAGGGCTAAATACATTAGGACACAGTTGGAAAAGAAACCACATATAATCGCTCAAAATAGTGATTAACTAGAAGCAGCTCCTTATTAATCACAGGGGATTTCATAGGAGGACTTTTCAGACAGTATACAACGTGCTATCATTTGTACAAGAGAAAAAGACAAAAACAAAATATCACATGTGCCTCTCTAGATGGAAACAGAAGGAACTGGTTAATAACAGCTGCTGAGGAAATGAACTGGGGAGTTAGTATTACAGGGGTTGGAAATGTACTTTTAAAGCCAGTTTCTAACATACTTTTAAAGCCAGTTTTTACATTTTGAATTTGTTGTCCGCAAGCATGTCCTGCCTGTTTTCATTTTAAAAATGGAACAGGGAAAAATATCCCCCCCTGTATACATAGACACATATACTGACACATATACCAACACACATGGAAAATAGCCTATAAGGAAAGATATCAAAAGTGGTGTATTTGGCTCGGCGCCTATAGCTCAACCGGCTAAGGCGCCAGCCACGTACACCTAAGGTGGCGGGTTCGAATCCCCAGCCCAGACCCGCCAAACAACAATGACGGCTGCAACCAAAAAATAGCCGGGCGCTGTGGCGGGCGCCTGTGGTCCCAGCTACTTGGGAGGCGGAGGCAAGAGACTCGCTTGAGCCCAGGAGTTGGAGGTTGCTGTGAGCTGTGAAGCCACGGCACTCTACCCAGGGGGACAGCTTGAGGCTCTGTCTCAAAAAAAAAAAAAAAAAAAAAAGTGGTGTATTTGAGGGTAGCGGGATATAGGTGATTTATTTTCCTCCTTTTTTATTTCTTTGTACTCTCCCCCCAATAGATTATTTACTAGTTTTATAAACATAAGAATGTATACATATTTTTTGGAGTGGCACCTATGGCTCAAAGGGGTAGGGCACTGGCTCCATATGCGGGAGGTGGTGGGTTCAAACCCAGCCCTGGCCAAAAAAAAAAAAAAAAGTTACACATATTTTTAAATAAATAGACAATCATATCATAATTTTTTCAGATACTGAAGAACAGGCTGTGAGAATAAGCATATGTATTTTTATTTGTTTGTTTTTTTATAGGCACCGAGCCAACAAGTACATTTTTATTAAAGCTCTTAAATGGTTTCATGCTGGGACTCCACACATTTGCTCCAGACTCACCCTGAAGTTATAGGAAGTTTCCTTGGGATTCACATTTGTGAGAGATGCTTGAAAAGCATTTTTATAACTTGTCTCTGGTTTTTGAGCTATAAACACAGAAGAGAGGTACTGAGTTAAGATTTATAAATTATTCTCAAATAAATCTTTAACAGTGTCTTAGTCCCAGGTCAATAACCATCTTTCAAAATACCCTAAACTTTCCAGCCATCTTACTGAATTGAAAATATCAGATCAGAAGACTCTTTCACCAACCAACATTAAGAATGGACTAAAAATGATACTCCTGTTCTTAATCTAGATGAGTCATTTAGAGTGTGTGTGGGTGGAGGAGCAGTCTGTAGCTCAGTAGGGTCTCAGCCATGCCCTGGAGGCTGTGACACTCTGGTAGCAGTGAAATGTCAAAAGAGCCAACACTGAGGCTGAGGATCAAAAACAATGGAAAATGGGGGTGTTGAGGGAGAAGGCCAGTGAGTCTGGTCCCCTTTATCAAGAGAGAAATGAAGGTGCACTTTTCCATGAGGTTTTGTGAAAACTGAGACACACTCAGGGCCACTCTGGGATCCAATGACATTATCCAGAGTTGGAGGGTAGATGTCAGGCCAAATACTAGAGCCAGGCCGTAGGGTCCAGCGTATACTCAAAAGCCCTGAATCATGGCCACAGCTCTACCAGCCTGCATAGAAAATGGGGATGCAGATTCTTCCTTGAAGGCCAGAATGTGAAGAACTACTTGGCAACATTTTGCAGAAGTCATGAATATTGGGTGATAGAGTCAGCAGATCTGGGATACCAAGGAGATGATGGGATATTCTCTCTAGCCACAACCTAGATGCTGTGGCCATTCAGGTTCTATTCCATCCACTTAGCCCACAAATAAAAGCCTGCCAACCACACCTATTGTGCATAGGGTACTTGCTTTAGACCTTGAGGCCAAAATTCTTACCAGATTGCTTGTACTTCTGGATTTTTGTCTTCAGGTCTATTCTGTGAATGTTCTTTAGGCATTTTTCTAATAAGTCCAACTGATCTGGAGCAACCAGATTTAGTTTCTCCAATTCAACCACAAGATCCAAGAAACTCTAAGAAAATCATCAACAAGAAACAAATGTCAACAGAGTGAAGACGCTCCAAATGCAAACCCCAGACCCAGCAAAGAAAACGTGTCAAGAAGAGCTCCTCTTAGTGACCTTCAGTGACCCTAAGCCAGACATCTCTGTCATGAGCAATTAGACTCCTGAATTTTACTCAGAACAGAGAATGTGGTAAACCTCTTGGTCATCAACCTGCTCCTAGGTAGAGAGAGACACATGTGCCATGCTGTGTCATCAAGGAGGACCGTGAAAGAGCAAGCCTAAAAATAAAGCCTCCTGAGTTTGTTCCCTCACCAAAAGCCAGGATGATGTTATACTGAAAATCTCTAACAGCTTCCCTGAAAAGGGGAGAGAGAAGGAGGCTGGTGGGAAAGTTTTAGGAGGAAAATCTCAGTGATACAGTTTTAAAGTTCCTAAAATACTTTAATCAAGGCTGGACATTTAATTCATTGTTGGAATGAGGTTATAGAGGTTTTAGAGAGGTGAAATTACAAAGTTTTGGTATTTTCCCTCGGAATTGTGAACGAACTATACTTTAGAAACAGCGTCACTTTTGGTTTTATTTCCTTTACATTTAACATTTGAGGTTTTTGTTCCTGTTTTGTTTTCTTGAGATAGAGTCTCCCCGGGCAGAGCACAGTGGCATCAACATGTGCTCACAGCAGCCTCAAACTCCTGGGCTCCAGCAATCCTCTCACCTCAGCCTCCTAAGTACCTGGGACTACAGGCACCTGCCACCATGCCTGGCTAATTTTTCTATATTTAGTGGAGATGAGGGTCTTCCTCTTGCTCAGGGTAGTCTCAAACTCCTGAGCTTGAGCAATCTACCCGTCTCAGCCTCCCAGAGTGCTAAGACTACAGACATGAGCCATCAAATTTAGTTGTTGATGTGCTATCTTTATTTCTAAAAATAATAATCATAATTAAACATATATAAATGGCTTAGAGAGAATTAGGAGAAACCAAAAAAGGAGTGCTATTTTTCACTTTCTCTTTCATTTTGCATTTGATGGTAGGAGCATACAGTTGCTCTATATTTTCAGATTTCAGAAATGCAACTACAATCATTAAAGGAACATGAGGAAATCATTGAACAATGACTTAGTAGAGTCTTTAGAGCCAGGCCAACCACTTTTAGGACCTACTGTCATATGCTATAGACTTAAACATTTCTTGGCCTTCCCTAAGCAGTAATGTAGGGTCAAATGGAAATTAAATACTCTTCCAACGATCACAACATCCCTGAGATCTTCATCTCTTACCTGGTTTTCAACCCCAAATCTCTATTTTTGCCATTTTCCCAATACATTAGTCACATGTACCTTCCCTCCCCCACTACTTCCACATGTATCCGAGAGAGCCCCACACTGACCTTGAGCTTCCTGAGGAGAAACAGCAGTAGAAAGCATGAACTAGCACTTCCTACTTGTCTGTACTCGACACACATATTTGGGACTCCCTACCCTATCCCACAGTCTGTCACACCAGGTAAGAAACTGATATATAAGCCAAACCTATGAATTTTAAGAAATAAGGATAAAATCCAAGAATGAAAGAAACACCCAATGCAATACCAGAAGATATCGTTCTGTTTATTCTTGATTCATAAACCAATTCTCTTCCCATTAATCTCTTCCCAAAAACCATCGCAAATGTCTGACTCCCACTAACACGGCAGCAGACTCCTTTCTTCCCTCTCTCTACACAATAAGGAGCAGCCCCCAACTTCTGATAGGCCCTTGAGGCCATGAACCACAAAAAAGAAAACTTACCTTCTCCTTGGATATCTTGCCTCGGCCTGTGTAATCCTTCATGAGGAATATTAATGAGGACACATCTGATTTATCCAAATCCTCACCAATCTCTGCAATGAGCACCCTGTAAACCAGACACGTTTCTTTAGTTAATGCTGACATGTGCCCTAATGAGAACTCCAGGAGCCCATGCCTCCCCTACACCAATAATTGGTTAAGAGATTAGTTCTTTTCTGCCAAAGAGCTGCTATAAAAATTAAAAAAAAAAAAAGGAGAAGAAGAAAAAAAACCATACCGGTTTTGGCCCCCATCGGTATCCCTCTCCCATAAAACAGAAAGCCTTGATCACCCTGGGAAGAAATATTAAGGAGGCTAAAAATGGAAACTCATCCTTTCCTCTGTTTTCAACAGATGATACCTCCCTTGCCAACTAACACCTTCTAAATAAATAAATAAACTCAAGAGAATGGAAACTTTCCTACAAGAATCCCCTAGCTCCCCCACAAGTTATAGGGAAATGAGTTAAGAACCCAAATGACTAACATAAAAGATAGAAATAGCATTCAAAATTGTCTTGTCTTTTCTAGTGAAAAGCTCCCAGGTGCTGATTTGGGGACCACACTTTGAGTCATAAGATGAGAAAGGAAAAAAACACCTGGGATATCCCAGGCACTTCTGCATTTAAAGGGGATAGGTGTCTGGTCATGGAGAGTCTGACCTTAAGTGTCCTTGTCTAGAAAGCTCCTCCTGACTCACTCATGTCTGCTCCAGTTGGATCTACAACCACATATTTTTTTTTTTTTAAGGGAAATACACTTTGAAGACCAACCACTGCACTTTATCAGGGTTCCGAGGATCCCTCAGGGTTCACATTTTTACCATGCCCTGTCATCAAGGTCATTTACCAGGTTAGATTCTCAGATTCCTGAGGATAGGAGTTTATTTATTTCTCCCTAGAGCTTAGCAAAATACCTGGCACATGCCAATACACATCAAAGATGATGAATAAATCTAGCACTCCCCTTCAGCTGCCCAGCCTCTCTTCCCAGAAGACCTGAAGGATAATCTCCACTCACTACAGTAAGAAAACAGGAAATGGAGAAAGTGCTCTAACCCTTGGAATGAAATGCAGTCAGTGCTTCCCCAAAAGTCTGAAGATTACTGACATTATAACTGATGGTTGGATGGGTGGAAGATGGTCAAGAATAACAACAATAATCATCCCTTGCATCTGTAGAGTCCTTCACAGTTTTTTTTTAGAGACAAAGTCTCATTTTGTCACCCTCGGTAGAGTGCCATCGCATCACAGCTCACAGCTCTTGGGCTTAGGCGATTCTCTTGCCTCAGCCTCCCAAGTAGTTGGGACTACAGGCACCCGCCACAATGCCCGGCTATTTCTTTTTGCAGTTTGGCTGGGGCTGGGTTCAAATCCGCCACCCTCAGTACATGGGGCTGGGGCCCCACCCACTGAGCCACAGGTGCTGCCCGTACTTCACAGTCTTAAAAGTCTTTCACGTTGTAAATGATCACAATTGATGCTTACAGTAACCTTGTGAAATTGGGCATTATTATCCTTCACTATATAAGGAGGAAAATGGACATCCAGCCACCATTACTGATTGGCCCAGCCTGCATGGTCCACAACTGGTAGGTCTGAGGCTTGAAACTGGCCTTCCAAACCCAAGCCTCATATACTTTCCAAAGCCCATATTGCTTCCAACTCTCTTTAGTATATTTCTTGATAATATACATCATCTCTAAATATACATCACTGGTCTAAGAGAAGGCCAGTGGTCTGGAGAAGAAGGAAACACCAATTTAAGGTTACAAATTCTTTTCCTTTCCCCAGAAACTCGGCCTTTCCAGTGGCTTCTGTTGCCCCTTCAACCTTTAAGTATTGTGTGAAGAAAGAAGAACTCAAAGCTTGTCTGAACTAAAGGGGACTCCAGTGGCCGTTCCCTCTTTGAACTAAAGGGGGCTTAGAGGTGGTTAAATGCAGAGTTTCCATTGGGCTCTGCAGATCTTCTGAGGACAATAACCACAGGAAGGGAACCCACCCTGATAAACTTCCTAGGGAGGGGAAGGACTGCTGGGGATTCCGAAAAGCTGAAGGAGTTCTACAATAATAGGAAGATTACGGTCACACTTGTTATTTCCTTTCTTGGAAGGGAAATACCAGAAGTTAGCGCCACTGCAGAAATCACACTGTCAGAGGCTGGCGAGAATTACTCCCTCTTAGTCCCTACCTTTCTTCATTTCTCCTCATTCTGCCCCTCCGGCAGACACACAGCAGCTGACACATACACCCTTCTACTTGCATATGATCCCCATCACTTTAAGCAAGCATGTTTTAAGACTAGAAAGAGTTCAAAGGCATGAAGTGACATCACATGGGGCGAGAGGAATGGGGCTGCTCCGCTTGCTGCCCTCCTTTCTATCACACAGCAGAGTCTAGACCCTCCCATCCTACCCCCACCTGGCCCTGAGAGGAGCTGAGGAGTTACCTATAGTCTGAAACAAGGTGAGGGTGCCTGCGCAAGAGGGCCTCCACTGCCGCTCTGTCCAACTTCAAGATCCGCTTGAGCAGGTCAAAGCGCCGCACTCTGTAGAGCAGCTCGGCCAAGCCTGCGTCAGACAGCTGACCTCTCTCTCTTAAAATATCCAGAAGGTCCCTGACATTCGGCGGAATCCCATCTGCAGCAACATCCCGGCACAAAAAAAGAAGCATCTCCTTCTCGTCTTTGTCGAGTGCCTCTTCAACCTGATGGATAACCTCGGCAGACATCCCGTACAGTGTCATTTCAAGGAACTGCAGTAACAAAGCTCCAAGCCAGTCAACAGATATCAATTTCATTTCTGAGGGCTTTCTTCATTTCTCTCACAATCCTTTCCGACGGATGAGTGCTCTGGTTAAAAGGTAATTGTTTTTTAAATCCTCTTCTCAAGGTAACTTATACCTAAGAGTTAAAGTACAGGCTCTCCCCTTTTGCTGGTCTTCCTAACCTGGGGGATTAAATCTTGTTAGTAAAGTAACTTCACAGAAAGAGATCCTCAGGAGACAAAGCCAAAACCCAAACTAATCCCCAAACCAAGAGAGACAGAGAAGAAAAACCTCTATGTTAAAGAAAATGAAACTAGAGACAAAAGTACCTAAAAAAAAAAAAAAAAATCCTGTATGCTTATTATTTACAATTCATCAGAATGCAAAGCATAGTAAAGGGAAAATCACACACAGAGGGGAGATAATGACTAAAGCTTAATAAATGGCCTTAGTGGGAGAAAGAGGGAAAGCCCAGGGACTAGAAATTAGATCAGAGAAACTTGTGTCATGGGGTTCATTCCCACTGTTAGGGTCCCCATTGTGTCATGGAGGTTAACTCCCACTGTTAGTGACCTCACCCATGTGGGTTTGAACAAAGAGACCCTCTCCGCAGTGTGCTATAAGTAACGGAGAAAAGAGGTTTCTGTCCCCACATCACCACTTTTTTTCCAGTTGTCTTCCTACTTCACAAAGCCTCACTCACACATGTAAGCAGAAGCCTCTGCTGCCATCCCCGCCAGAGCCCAAGCCACAACGTCCTTGTGAATGCTCATAGGCCCTGCCACCACCTGAACAGAGGCTTTGTCAAGCTATGACCAGGTCTTCAGACTGAGTCAGTGGAAGCACTGGAGGCCCCCTGACTCAGTACACTGTTACACAGCAGCAGTTGCCCTCAGTATTCCTGATGGTCTCAGTGGAACAGAAGATGGGGGGGCTCAGTCCTAGGGTGGGCCTTGGGTGGGAGGGGTAAGGAGCTCAAGCCATGGGTATATTCTTAACTTCTGCCATTGGAACTCAACATATTTTCTTTCAAAATTTCAAAGTGGCAATTACTATATACTCATAAGTTTTATTTTTATTTTTTTTCTGAGATAGTCTCTAGATGTCACCCTGGGTAGAGTGCATCATAGCTCATAGCAACCTCTAACTCCTGGACTCAAGCAATCCTCTTGCCTCAGTTTTTCGATTTTTAGTAGAGATGGGGGGTCTCAATTTTGGCTCAGGCTGGTCTTGAACTTGTAAGCTCAAGCAATACACCCACCTCGGCCTCCTAGAGTGCTGGGATTATAGGCATGAGTTACCATGTCCAGCTACTCATAAGTTTTCTAGCTATTAATTTATTTTCGATCACTTCTTATCTCTGGGCCAGTACCTTCTCTGTTCCTATAAACATTTCAGGTTAAAACCTAATCTTATAGAAAAATAATTGGAAATACAAGCCAACTGTAAGTTACTAATAGTTGCTTTGTATTTATATACAAGTATATTTATTTATTTATTTATTTATTTTTTGAGACAGAGCCTCAAGCTGTCCCCCTGGGTAGAGTGCCATGGCATCACAGCTCACAGCAACCTCCAACTCCTGGGCTCAAGCAAGCCTCCTGCCTCCGCCTCCCAAGTAGCTGGGACTACAGGCGCCCACCACAACGCCTGGCTATTTTTTTTTTGTTGCAGCTGTCATTGTTGTTTGGCGGGTCCGGGCTGGGGATTCGAACCCGCCACCTTAGGTGTACGTGGCTGGCGCCTTAGCCGGTTGAGCTATAGGCGCTGAGCCTATATACAAGTATATTTAAACATAGGTCACTATGAAAGTATTGAGACATACTGTGTTATGGCCTATTATTTCACTTCCAAGAAACACAGTCAATAGCACCCTGCTTCACCTATGCAGTCTCCACTTGCTTGGCTTATTGTTGCTGGGAAAGCTTCATTTGTTTCTGTCCATGGAGATTTTACGTTTCTTGATTTTTGTGTATCTCAAAACTTTCATAATGACCCACATATATTTTCTAGCTATTTAGTGAAAGGAGCACTGAATCTATTTTACATACTTATACAATATTAATCTACAAAAGATTTGAGGCATCTTACAATGAAATGCCAAGTAGAAAAAATTTATATGAGAATAAGGGGAAAAATTAGATTCAAAATTTGAAATGGGGTAGAAAGTTAGAGAATACAATGTAATATGCAGGCTAAAAAGGCCTAAATTTCTCCTCGAGCTTCCTGGCAGTGAAAGCAGAAAAGGATAGATGAGAGGGTAAATAGTTCTTCCTGCCAAAGCAAAGAAAAACAAAACAGATTCTTAAAGGGGACAGTTTCCTGGTGTTCCAGTGTTCCCAGTCACAGGAACTATTAATTAGTTCTTCAGTGTCTAAAAGTACTCAAGTTTCATTTAAAGTAATTAAATATCATTATTTTTTTGAGACAAACTCTCACTATGTGTTCCTCGGTAGAGTGCTGTGGCGTCATAGCTCACAGCAACCTCAAACTCTTGGGCTCAAGCAATTCTCTTGCCTCAGCCTCCCAAGTAGCTGGGACTACAGGCGCCCGCCACAACACCCAGCTATTTATTGTTGTTGTTGTCACTGATGTTTAGCAGGCCTGGGCTGGGTTGGAAGCTGCCACCCTCGGTGTATGTGGCTGGCTCCCTAACCACTGAACATGGGTGCCAAGCCAAAATTATTAAGAGCTGGCAAATTGTTTTTGTTTGTTTTTTGTTAGCAGACCTGGGTGGGTTTGAACCTGCCATCCCCAGTGCATGGGGCCAGTGCTCTAACCATTGAGCACAGGCGCCCAGCCTAATTAGTAAAGAAAAAAATTACATT